ACTATTACTCCTGAGCACTTAAATACTTCTTTAATTAATGTAAGGTACTGAGCTTCAGAAGATGGGCTGTTCCCCATGATTCTTTTTTTATCAATTCTACCTCTGAGTTTTTAACACATTTTCAGAGGGTGGGGTATAGTCCCCATGAAATATTTTTCTTTTTCTTCCCTTAAATTTGTCCTTTAAGGGGTGAGAGAATCTTCACGAAATTTTTTTCTAATTCTATCCTTAATTTCCAAGGAGTGAAGATTCTCTCATGGCCCTCTCTTTAGTTTTCCCGAAAGTTTCACTTACCCTGAGTGAATTCCCTTTTGGTTCCTGGTGTTTGCTCAAAAAAGAGAAAGAGAGACCATCACCTTATCCAAAGAAAAACCACCACCTTGTCCCAAGGTTCAGGCACCAGAGGGGAAGACCAGGACACTTGCAAATCTCCAAGGAGTGCCAGGTCTAAAGATATGGAAACCAACAGGAATTTTCTTCCAGAACCAACATAGATAGACCAGGTCTTTCCCTAGAGCTGGTACTTCTTGCCACTTAAAGTGTTGTTGTTATACCATTGAGGCAATTCTGACTCATAATGACCCCTATATACAACAGCTCTGAATCCTGCTTTATCCTGAGGCAATCTCATTTTCTCTGGCACATCTATCCCCATTATCCCAGTCACTGAGTCAATTAATCTCATTCAGTGTCTTCCTCTCTTGTACTGTCCCTCCACCCTCCTAAGCATCATGGACTGCTCCCTCCTGTCAACATGCCCAAACCATGTCAGACAGAGCTTCAGAATCCTTCCTCCAAGGAGCAGCCTGGCTTCACCGTCTTCAGGATGAACCTGTTTGTTCTCTTAGCAGTCCATGGTATATTCAACACTCTTCTCCAGCACCACAGCTCAAAGGCATCAATTCTTCTGTCATCCTTAGTCTTTGTTCAGCTGTCTGATGCAGAGCAAGTAACTGTGAAGACCATGGCCTGGATCAGGTACACCTTAGTCTCTAGACTGATTTAATTGTTCTTCAGTACTCTGGAGAGTTTCCTGACAGCAGATTTTCCCAATGCAATTGATCTTTTGATTTCCTGGCTGCTGGTATCAAGAGTGTTGCTTGTGGAGCCAAGCAAACTGAAGCAGCTGTTAACAATCTCTGTCTCCTAACCATCTAACATGATGTTACCAATTGGCCCAGTGGTGAGAATCTTTGTTTCCTTGATGTAGAGCTTCAATCTAAATTGAAGGCTATAGTCCTTGACCTTCTGCAGCAAATGCCTCAGGTCCTCCTCAGTGTAAGAGAATGAATTTCCATTTGTTTAAGTCTCCACTTGTATGTATATCTGTTACAGCAGCATAGATAACTAAGAAAGGAAGATAGGGATGGGAGTCAACAAAAAAAGAGTGAAGAGGAGACTCCAGAGTACACAATACTAGAGAGTGGAGAGGGAGGTTGAAAGGAAAAGGCACAAAAATTGGAAAGCTGCTTGTCTGGCTTAGAGATTGCTTAATGGAAAAAAGGAGATTGGAGATTGGTAAGAGGAAAGGAAGTAGAGGTGCTTGAAATAGAACTTGGATTTCATCCACATGCCAGAGAGAAGAAATGAGTGATATCACCACAGGCAGCTTTTCCCTTTTTCCTTTCCTCTGATGTAAAATTTTAATTTCCTCTTTGACTGGCCCTGCTGTTCCTTTTTAAGTATAGCTGTCTTCTCTCCCTGCATGCCTGATTCCTTCGTTTTATAATCACCACCTCTTCTAACCTTTCATAATTGTCCTGTGACCCCAGAATTGGACTTCCCCCATGGGATACCTATTTTCTTAGGTAGCTAGTATTGCTGTAGCCAAAATACCACAACTGAATGACTTTAACAAACATATTTAAAATTTATTCTCTTAACAGTTTTAGGATTCTGAATTCAGGTTGTCATGTTTCGGAGAAGGTTCTAACTCTGTGTTGATTTTAAGCAAAGATCCTAGTCTCCTTTCTGCATCTGGGAGCTCAGTATTTCTTGAAACTCCTCATGTGTCTTGGCATCAGCCTTCCCTTGTTCTAGGAGGTTCTCAGCACAGAGACCCTGGGTCTAAGGAATGAGTACATTTCTCCTTTCTTCTTTCTTGGTAGTTGTCAGGAAATTTCTCCTCACTTCTTTCTCCTTTTATCTCTTGTAAGAGAAATGGTATGAACAACACAGTCACAGTAATCAAAACAGCTTGGGACTGGTACAGTGACAGGCACATCCGCCAGTGGAATACAATTGGAAACTCAGAAATAAATCAAGCAAAGGTGTGACTTGAGAAAGGGCATGAATTGAGTAATTGAATAAAGGTTAGTGAAAGTAAGACTTGAGTTATTCTCTCAAGATACAAACCACTTGAATCCTATTTCATTAACATATGGAGTTTAGAGTTTATGAAAACAAAATAAATCACCAAATGGATAACTACAATCTGATCATAAAATGAGGACAACCACACAGCTCTGGAAATCATGGCCTAGTCAATTTCAAATGTATTTTTTGGGAGAAAAGTTCAATATATGAAACCAATGATGCTCATCTAGCTAAATACAATGACTTTTCCTCTGGCTTCAACCACTTGTTTAATACTGAATTTCATAATTTTTTCCCTTTGGCCTTTATGACTAAAGTATTTACTCTTCCTTCTCAATTTATAATTTATTTCTTTCCTTAAGTCATTATACTTTTTTTTTTTGTATGACGCATAAAGGTATTCTGGATATCATACCTTGACATTTCGCCTTTTGTTTTTATTGTGTCTGTGTTGAAAACCCTCTTCAGAGTTAGGTATCAGTAGGTTCCGACACAATAGTACACAACAACAAAAACAACAACCAAATTCATTTCCTCTTCTACCTCACGTCCTTTCTCAATCTGGAATGATAGACATGGATTTCAAGTTTTAGAATTGCTGGCATTACCCATGTACAGTTTCTGAAACAGACCCTCTGTCCCTTTCTATTTCCTAGTTTGCCATCCAGGTCTACCCACTTTAATGTTCACATTCCCTCACTAAGGCAGTGAAGAAGCTGGACTTTTTGAGTGTCCTTTTGAACTGTCCTTTTCCTATGCATTTGCTCTCTTGCTACCTTGCTCAGACTTCCATTACTCTCCTGGAGTTTATTTTTGTTTTATTAGCTCCAACAATCAGATGATGATGAAATAGAAAGTTGGTTACTGTGGTGTTAATAAAAATATTTTGGGTTTGCAGCTTAATTTTTTTAAAACTGTGTATATGTGGAAAACCTTACAGTTTGAAGTAAAGAAAATACTTGGCATTCTTTTTTTATCAGAGATAAAATTTGGTGTTTTTTTTTTTTTAAAACACCCATTATTTTCTTGAAGATGAAAACATAAATGACAAATGTGTTTTAGGAACTTTTTATGATCTCAGAATATTACTAAAGAGAGGGAAAATTATATTTTTTATATCATTTAAAGTCTTGAAAATAAGTTGGCCTTCAACCTTTCTATTCCTGGGTAAGTAGGTCATTGGTACAGGACAATTCTACAGTGGTTTGAAGTTTGGTCCTGAGTCTCAAAATTGTGCCTGCCATGCATATTTCATGAGACAAGTTTCCAAGTACAGCGCTCCTGTCAGCCATGAGATGGTGACTAGGCTGTCCTGTATTCACAGCTGTGTCTCTTGGTCCTGGGACTTTTGACCATCCCCTCCCCTTGGTCTGGGGACATCCTAACTCTCACCAGTGTGCTCCCCTGATGCCATGTAAAGCTCTCCTGGAGCACGTTTCCCATCACATTGTAATTAATGTTTGCCTTTGACTCCCAATGGATTTTATCCAGTTATCTTTGATATTTTCAATATTCACATCTATCCTTAGGATAAAAGTGATATTTCATGTATAATGACTAAATGAGTGAGTGCGAGTGAGTGAATCAATGACTTACTGGACCTGTTAACAGAATTAGCTCCTGGAGGATGGGACATCCTTTCCACGTGCTATAGGCTAGTGGTGTGTGCAGTTTTTATCTATTTTTCTGTTTTCCCTATTTGAGAAATTTAATGAGTATGTTGTTGTTGTTAAGTGCTGTCGAGTCACAGATGACTCATAGCAACCCTATGAAGGAGAGTCCTTGACGCTTGGGTGCCTTTCATCCTCTCTCCAGGTTCATAGGGTTTCCGGAGGCAAGGTGTTATGGAAGTGGATGCCACTCCTCCTTCCAAGCTTGTTTTAATCGGGGAGCTCCACCCCACTCTCTGTCCGCATTGGGTAACTGACCATTAATGCATTTGACACATCAGTGTCACGGTGTTCAGCCTCACAGCAACCACAAGTGACCGCGGTACAGCAACTTGTACACCAGGGCTATAGGACCTAGAGGAATGTCTGAACAAAAACAGTGAAATTTAAATTTAATGAGTATAGGTAATGAAAATATCATAACTGAGATCCAAACTCATCGCTGTTGAATTGGAACTGACTCAGAGCTAACCTTCCATTGGATTTCTGAGGCTGTGAATAGCACAGGAAAAACTGTCCAGCTCTCTCCCTCAGAGCTGCTGGTGGGTTTGAACCACCAGAAAGGCTTTGCCTTTGAGTTAGCAGCACAATTCCCCCCAGACTTTGCCACCACAGCTCCCTGAAGTGTATTATGCAAATATGTGAGATGGACCCTAGTTATAGATGCTCTGGTTTGGACGTGCAGATTTGTGTATTTTATTTTTCAGTGGAGATGGGATGTTGAAGACAGTTCAGTGACATTCTCAAGTGGGACACAACCTTGCCCTGCGCTCGGGTATCTGAAGTGTTTTAAATGTGCTTCATTCTGGAAGGTCTTATCAATCCTGTTTCCTTCCTCTCTTTCAACTTCTATTTAATCGTGGAGCTGTGATTTAGATTATGTGAGAAAGTTCTCATCATTCTTCTCCTCTGAGCTTGATTTGTTGTGGAGCTGAATCAGATAGATGAGGGAATGTGGATTACGCCTTCTATTCAGCTGAGGTCTAACTTTTTTACCCTCTTCTTTCAACCCAGATTGCATGATATACTTAACAATCTGAGATCAAAATATGCCAAGCAGATAAAGCAGTTTCAGGAGGAGAACCAGTCGCTTACCGCAGATTATAAGCGCCTTGTGATGCAATTTAAGAAGCTACAGAGAGCCACGAGGTATTTTATGGGTTTGTATCCTAAAACAGAGGTGTTGGGCTTGATAGAGGCAGTGATTTTGCTAAATTTGATATCACCATTGGGATGTGGACTATGTAATCATTTAATCCTTGGTGCTGTGTTCTGTCTCTTTCCTCACACATCACTTACTTTTATTTGAGACTAGCTAGAATGGCTTCCAGTTTATCATACATGAGACTTGCTTATGAAGGATTGGGTGAGGCCCAGGAATCACTCCCGCTCTTCCTCATGTCCTTGCCCTACTGTCAGCTGAAGAGATCCCGTTGAGCCCTGGGGTCAGCTGGCCATGTTCCATGACTCTTCTTCACAGGCGTTCTGCTGTCATTGATGAAGAGAAGTTTCGGGAGATATGGCTGGTAAATGAAGAGGAGGCAAAGGATCTGATCAGCAAAGCCTTCTGCATAGACAGAATCATCTGCACCCATCATCTGGGACTCCCCTGGACAGCACCTGATTGCGCTTTCTTGAATAATACAGGACCTATTTCTCAACAACAAAAGAAATCTGCCACAGAAGTAGTAGAAGAGGTGCTGATGCAAGCAGGTGACTACAGCAGAGTAACAGCCCCAGGACTGGAGGGGCCCTCTGAGAGCTTAGGGCCAATCATCTGATTTAACACATAAAGAAACTGAGGTCCAGAGTGGAGGGAGCATCTAACAGTGTGAGAGCGGGTAGAGTGTGATTGCTTGACATGGCTTTCAAGTCTCCTGTTCTTTATACATTAGCCCTCCATGTCTTTTTTTACCCCCTTCCCTTTGTAATTTATTGGTTAAAAAAATTGGGCTGTTTGTCCAAAAGAATTGTCTACAGTCTGATTTTTGTCAGTTGTATCCTTATGGTGCCCTTTAACATGTTTTTTCTTTCTCCTGTCTAACCTATAAGCTTGTAGTTAACACAAGGACTCATGAGGACCATAAAGGACAGAACAGAACTGTCCCATAGGGTTTCCAAAGCTATAATCTTTATGGAAACAGAATGTCATATATTTCTTCCATGGCCTGGGTAGGGGTTTCAAACAATCAACCTTTTGGTTAGCAGTTGAGCACTTTAACCCCCACAGCACCCAGGCTTCTTAATTACATTGGGTGCATCTGATCCAAGGCTGGTACCTTTGGTGGTGTAATGCATAGAGAGTTGAACTGCTAGCCTAAAGACTTGGCATCTCTTGACTGTTTTCTTCCACCAGCTACTCCAAGGAGGAAGGGGGACAGTCAGAAGGTCATCTGTGGGTCAGAACCGACTAGGTGACAGAGAGAGAGATCCAAGCCATGATATTTTTATTTGCTTCTTATGCATAAGGAGATCCAAGGGGACCTCTGATGGTCTAGTGACAAGAAGATATTCTGTAGTCCTGAAGGCATTTGAGGCCACCAGCTGCCCCACAGGAGAAGGATGGACAATCTCCTCCTGTGTGATTAACTCTCTCTGAAAATCTGCTGAAGGGTCAGCTATGGTTCGGTTCTGACACAGTGGTATATAACAACAACAACATACATAAGAAAGCTAGACAAGAATAAGAAAGACCGGAGAATTGATGTCTTTGAATTATAGTGTTGTCAATATAGTAAATATACTGTGGACTAACAGAAAAAAGAACATAGATGTCTTGGAAAAAGAAGCCAGAAATAGCCAGAATGTTCCTTGGAAGCAAGGATGGTGAAACATCACCTCAGGTACTCTAAGTATATTATCAGGAGGAACTAGCCCCTGGAGGACAAATGAAATAGAGGAAGACCACCAATGAAATTGGCTGTGACAATGCACTCAAACTGAGTGACAATTGTGAGGATGGCACTGGAATGGGTGGTGTTTCATTCTATTGTACATGGGGCTGTTAGAACTGACTCCACAGCATCTACCAATGACCTGTCCGAAACACAGACATTGCACAGAAAATTCTAGCTGTTTTTCTTTTATTAATGATAGTAATGTTCTCTTCTTTGCTGTTGTTCGGTGTTGTTTGAGTCTCTTTCAACTCATCTTACTCCTGTTGGTTCTATAGATTCAAACTGTTCTGGAGAATTTCCTTGGTTATCCTCTCTATAGATGTAGATTGATAGGTTTTTCTCCTGAAGAACTTCTAGGTAGAGTTTGAACTGCCAACCTTTTCATAAGCAGTCACATTCTTATTTTGTGTCACTAGGGGTCCTTTTGCCCCTCTGAAGAGCAATGTGGGAATCAGGATCAGAGGAAAACTCATCAACAACCTGTATTATACAGATGGCACAACCCTGTTTGCTGAAAGTGAGGAGGACTTTAAATAGTTGTTGCAGAAGATAAAATACCATAGCCTTCACTATGAATTGCATCTTAACATCAAGAAGATAAAAATTTTCACTGTGAGCTGGTAAATAACATCATGATAGATGGAGAAAAGGTTGATGTTGTCAATTATTTCATCTTACTTAGATCCACAATCAATACCCTTGGTACCATCAGCCAGGTGATCAGGAAACATACTGGGAAAATCTGCACTCCTGTAACTCTCCAAATCACTGAGGATCAAAGATGTGAGTTTGAAGACTAAGGTCTACCAGATTCAGGTCCTGGCCTTTTCAATCTCTTGCAACACATCTAAAAGCTGGATAGTAAATAAGGATGACAGGAAAAGACTTAATGCCTTTGGGCTGTGGTATTAGAGAAGAGTACTGAACATCCCATGGACTGCCAAAAGAACAGATATGTCTTGGAAAATGTGTAGCCGGAGTGTTCTTTGGAGGATGACAAAGCTTCATCTCACATACTTCAGACATGTTGCTAGGAGAGGCTATATGTGACAGTTGTGAGGATGGCACTGTCTCTTATGAGACAGATTGATACAGTGACTGAAACAATGAGCCCAACAATATCAGAGACGATGAGGATGGCACAGAATAGGTCAGGGTTCAGATCTGTTGTTCATACATTTGATATGTGTCGTATTCAACTCTACGGCACCTAACAACCACCAGCATCTTCCTTCAATCTTATTCTTGACATAGCACAATTTTAGAGCAATTAACTTATAGTTAATAATTACAATTTGAAATTTATTACCTTATATAGACAAGAAGGACACTCTGGTGGCACAGTCTGTGGACAGGTGTACTGCTAACTCAAAGGTGATGCCTCTTTGGCAGTTCAAATCCCCCAGCAGCCCTGAGGGAGGAAAGCTGCACAATCCCCTCCGTCCGAAAACCTGCTGGACGGTCAGCTGTGGGATGGTTCCTCCTGATGGCAATAAGTTGAAGTTTTTTATTTTAAAAAGCCGTATCAACCAATCATTCCCTACAGACTTTCACACTATGAGACCTCTTCTCTCCTCTTTGGACATCAGGTTTTTCATTTGTGAAATGAAATAACTGACCCAAACATCTTGATGTTGAATATAGACAAGGTGAGACTAGAAAGCAATTTGGATTAGTCTTTTAGAAAGAGTCTGTGATATTTTCTCAAAAATTTGCTTTATAACTGGTCTCTGTTATGGAAAATGTCAAAGAACATGAACATTTAAAATAGGTAAAACATTATGTATGGTAAAACAATGAAGTTATCTTTTCATTATATTGTTATTTTTTAAAAATATTGACTTTTATAAAACAAAAAACGAGACCCTTGCCTCCTTAAATGTTTACACGTCTGTAAACAGCCTAGTGCGAATTAGAAATGGCTGTGTTCATAAGTCTACTTCCTTATGATTATTTTAGTTGAGCTCTGGCGGCTTTAGTGGTAAGGAATTGTGGTGCTACACAAAGGTACACAGTTTGAATCCACCAGCTGCTCCATGGGAGAAAGATGGGCAGTCAACTCCAGTATGATTTTACAACCTCTGAAACCCGCTGGAAGGCCAGCTATAGATTCGTTCTGACTTGGTACATAACCAGCATGCTTATTTTAAGCCTGAGGTTGGATGAGATCACATACACAAGTAAGTGAGAAAATGTTTCAACTTAAGTAAAACTGGAATTCTTCCTGATGTCCTGACTGGTACTTTGATCCTGCAGAGGTAAGCTATTCTCCTGGCTCCAGGCACATGGGAAAGTGACACACAGGACCCACTGCTCTTAGGCTAAATCTCGGGTTCATCCGCATGACCTTACAAGACCCAGCGTACTCTCACCCCTTTCCAATGTCTTCCTTTGTAACCTCACTTCACCCATTATTTCAACCCTAGATCTCCTTTTCATTCCTAGAAAATGCCTTTCTTTGGGCTTGCCCTTGTCTGCTGTCTCTGCAAAGCTGATTCCCACTCATTCTTTCCTCCCAGCTGAAACATTTTCCTTACCCATTCACCCTCAGGGGAGCCTTACCTCACCCCAAACTAGATTAACTTCATGCCTCACCTGGTCAACACCTACTTCAGGTGCAGCAGTGACGCCAGGCTTCCTTTCCTTTTTCCCCTTTGCTCTTTCATGGATTCCGACACACTGTGGCCCTCTAGCGGACTTCTGAGGCTGGATATCTTTATGGGATGAGCATACTGTGGAGTCAGAACAGACCCATGCCTGACCCTCCAGTGGATTTTTGGAGGCAGTTAAATCACATGGGAGGAGATTGCCTGTCTTTTTCCCACGGAGCAGCTGGTGGATTTGAACTATATGCCTTTGGGATTGCAGCACAGCTTTGTACCAGTGCCCATCTTTCTCCAAGGAGTCCCTGGTGGATCCAAACTGCTATATTTTCATTTTACACACTCCACAAAATTTAATTATTGGTGTTGTACTTATATGAAATTTGTCTTTGTACATAAACTTTAAGCCCTTGTGACTATAGCAAGTTGAAAAAAATAGAGATGTTCAGAAAGAAAAATAATGTATTTGTTGTCTTTGAGCCTTGGTTTCCCCAAAGGATTTTAAAAGGAGATGATTAAAAAAAAAAAAAAAACCACAAAAAATTCCCATAAAACTGTGCAGATGGAGTAGATAACCTCCTTCCCTTCAGCTCTAACATCCTGTGAATCTGCTTCCAGGGCTTGCTGAGGGACACAGTAAAGTTTAATTTTAATCATAGGGGATTGGTACTGTTTCCAGGTGGAGGAAACAGTTTGGGAATTACATATGTTTTTTGGGTTTAAAATAGACCAGGCTGGTGGAACTAGGAATTTGCATGGAAGTGTGAGCGAAGGTAAGGCTGAGAAAATTAAAGCTAAGTTATAGGAGCCTAAAGACTTTGGGTTTGATCCTCTAGGCAAGGACCATTCTGAGAATGGTGATAGACGAAGTACTGTGGACGAAGAGCTGCAAACCTTGATGGTCTAGGGAGCTCTGGTGCCTTAGTCGTAAGGAGTTACATTGCCAACCCAAAGGCAGGCAGTTCAAACCCACCACCTGTTCTGTGGAAAGAAGATGGGCATTCTCCTCCTGGGTGGTTTACGGCCTCAGAAAACCTGCTGAGAGTCAGCTCAACAGCCCCCGGCAGCAGCATGTGAAGTAGGAAGAGTCTCAGTATATTGTGTGTAGGAATAGACAATAAAGGATGAAAAGGAATGTGCAAGGCGTGTAAATAACACATTTACGTGTTACAGATTAACCACAGTTGGAAGGAGAAGGAAAGAGCCGTGGTGGTGCAGAAGTTAAGCAGTGGGTTGCTAACCAAAAGGTCAGCGTTTGAGCCCCCCAGCCACTCTCAGAGAGATGAGGCATTCTGCTCCTGTAACAGGTTACAGTTTGGGAAACTCTAAAGAGCGGCTCTTTCTGACCTGTGGTATCACTCTGAGTAGGAATCAGAGGGCAGCAGGTATTGTTTTTTTAAGAGGCTGTTAAGTGCCATTGAGTCGCCTACTACGCGTGGGATGCTATGAACAACAAATGCGAACCTTGCCCTGTCCTCACAATCTCGGAAATACTCGGCATATTGTTCCAGTTACCTCCTTCCACCTTTCCCAGCGGGATGCTTTTTCTAAGGACTGGTCCCTCCTGACGTCATGTCCAAAGTATGTGAGATGAAGTTTCACCATCCTTGATTCTCAGGAGCACCCTGGTTGCACTTGTTCTTTGACAGAATTGTTTGCTTTTCTGGCACTCCAATGTGCTGTTCAGTACTCTGACCAACACTGTGACTCAAGGACATCAATTCTTCTGTCATCCCACATTGTTTCAGAGGATCAGCTGGGAGTCAGCACCAGCTCAACAGCACATCACAACAGCAATCAAGAACAGAGCTGAGGTCACGTAGTCCTTGTGGAGTTGCCCTGCTAACCTAAAGTCATGCATCTTGGACAGTTTGAATCTACCAGCAGTTCTGAGAGAGAAAGATGGGCAGTCTCCTTCTGTGCAATTTACAACCCCTGGAAACCCAGTGGAGGGTCGTTCTGAGTCGACTCCAGCTCGATGGCAATGTGTGAATGAGAGTCTCTTCCACTGTAATCCCAGTGAGCGTGCTCAGCGGTGATCAATTTTAAGTGGTGGTTGTTGTGCGTAGTCACAACTGACTCATAGCTGACCTGCCAGTGAGTTTTAGAGGCTTGACGTTGTGTCAGAGGACATTGCCCGTCTTTCTCCACAGAGCAGCTGATGGATTCGCACTGTGTGCCTTGATGGCTGTCAGTGGCACCTGCCCACCACTCTGCCACTGGGGCTCCCTCCCTCTCCCTCGCTCCCTCTGGTGGCTAAGTGCGTAAGGGAGCAAATGATCCAAAATAGTCATTTTGAATGCGTGAATAGCATTATGGAAGGATAGCTGGGAGAAGAGGACTTCGTCTTTGGAGATGGTAATCATCCAGATATGTCTTAACAATCAGGATATTTGAGGAAATCCTGTCTCTTATCTTACAACTCTCAAGTTCTACCCTAGGGCATAGCCGTTCATTTCTCTGTCTTTGTACTCTATCCAAGTATGTTTTAATTACCCCTCTGTCTGAACTTCTCCCGTTTGGTTTAGTTGCATCTAATCTTTTGCAGGCTTATAAAGCAAGTAGCAGACATGTTAGATTGACTCAAAAGTAAAATGAAACAATGAAAGAATTTTTCTTTTACTTTTCAAAGAGAAGAGTGAACTGGGGGGAGGGGTGGGCAGGGAGAACAGTGCAACAATGAATGAATGGAAATCCAAAATCTCTGTAAATGTTCATTAAAATTAATAATAATAAAAAGAATTTAAAAAACCAAACTTTTTTTTTTAAAGTAAAATGAACAGGCTCGTGTTCTCCTTTCCACTTCTGCTTCATGGCTGGAGTATGTTTCCAGGAGATAAAATTCAGAGAAGCAAGGAAGTACAAAGTGGCTGAAAATGTCAGGGTTCTTTAGATAGAGTCTTTCACTCCCACACCCCCACTGACCCCCACTCCTGGCCCACAGCCGTCCTTTTCCTCATGCTCACATTGACTTTCTTCAGCATAAAGTCTCTCACTCACTGCTGTCAAATCAGAACCGACTCAGCTGATGCTCCAGCAGGTTTTCAGGGGCTGTAAATCTCACAGGAGGAGATTGCTCATCTTTCTTGCTCATCGCAGCTGGTAGATTTGAAACACCTGCCTTTGTGTTGGCAGCATAATCCCTTACCCACTAGGCCACCAGAGCTTCCTTCATGAGAGAGTGGTATTGCCTTAAATAGGCCTTTTAGTGTTTATGGTGTTCAGTTGCTAAAAGGTTGGTAGTTTGAGTCCACTAGCTGCTGCTCAGGAGAAAGGTGGGTGGTCTCTACTAGCATAAAAATTTACAACCTCAGAAACTCAATGGGAGGGTCACTAGGAATTATTTCTTTTTATCAAGAAAAGCTATTTGGCAGTTGGTAAAAGTAAAAAAGGCATTAACATGATCCTCTCCTGCCCACGTCTGTTTCCTCTCTGTGACCTCTGCAGAAGAGGAGGGATCAGAAGAGAATGTCACAGAACTCCAGTCTTACCTGGACCTGCCGAAGCAAGTTTCTGCAAAAACCACCAGAAAGATCCTGATGCTCCTGTGTGACGAGTCGGTGAGGCGTCCAGGCGGGTCCTGGGGCTGTGGCACAGCGCTGCTTGGGGGGTGGGGGGGGGGACTTTGCCTCCAGAGGAGTAGACTTTCTCGTGAGGCATCTCTGTGCACTGTGTGCTCTGGCTGGGCCACGTGTGGCCAGGAGTCAGCTGGCCCAACTTTCCGCTGGTTCCTAACAGCAGAGCTGGGAACAGCTGTTGGATGACTTCGGGAAGTTCCCAGAGACCTTTCCTCAGCACTGGCCCATCTGGTAAATGGCTCTTCCCTTCATGGGTCCATCGACGATGTCTGACAGGCCTCTGTTAACGTAAATGATCCTTTGTTCTTTCCCTGCTGAGTAGTGTGACTGGTTGATCAGAGGCCTTTCTCCGAGAGCTTAGTCTGAGAGGATGCTGAGTATTGTGAGGTTTTGACATCTGGACTGTATATTAGCAGAAGTGATTAGACTTTGAGTGAACACTGTGTTGGAGCTGGTTCAGTTGGAAGTTGGGCTATTGCCAAACACGATTGATGCTTATGTAGGTTTTACAATTCTGAGGTGTGTGGAAGGAGCTGTGGTGCATATTGGTTAAGCACTTGACTGCTAGCTGAAGGGTTGACAGTTTGATCCCACCAGCCAACCAAGGAGAAAAGATGTAGTAGTCTGCTCTGTAAAGATTACAGCCCAAGAAATCTATGGGACAACTGTGCTCTGCTCTCTAGGCTGGTGATGAGTTAAAACCGACCTGATGGCAGGGTACAAAGTAACAAGGTAGACAAATGAGGGGAGAGCAAGGCTTAGCAGCCTCTAGTCTACTGGGGTCAGATGGTTGGGCCAGTTTCCTCGGCACCAGGGCTGACAGCCCCTTCTCTGACCACTGGGGACATGCTTCACCAGGAGATAGTTCTCTCTGTATTTCCAGGCCTGCAGCCAGTGGCCCCCTCCCCACAGAGCCATTCCTCAGGTTTTCCTAGTGTAGTGCGGACCACTCAGATTTCTTGCTCTTCCCTCCCTCTGCTTCCTGTGTGCAGTGTTCTGGTGTCGCAAATCTGTCTGCCCCTGTGCTTTCCTCTCCTGCAGCCCTCTGGTAGCTACATGGGGGGTTATAACCTGACGAAGTGACACTGGGCAGGTAGGAATCTGACTGAATGAAGTTTGGTCTCTGCTGTGTGCAACGCAGGTATTTGTCCAGTGGCTTTAGCGCCCTTGTGAATGGAAACAGGTAAAATCCATGATGAGGAGCAGTCTTGTCCCTGGAGGGGTTTCTTCACAAGACCTTGGTGGTTTCCATGCTCTGTGAACCGGTCCTGACTGGTAGGTAGTGCAGGTTCTAGAACTGATTTCTGCAACCTGTCTTTTGTTTCTTTGTCTCCTTAGGGTTTTCTCATTGAGAGTAAGGTCCTGAGCTTTCTCCTCCCCCTGGAGAAGAGTGAATGCTGTCTGCTGAAGTTGGATGTCATCTTCTCAGTAAGTTGCCTGGGCTCTAGGTGGACCTGAGGTGGGGTGAGCCTGCCCAACTCCAAGAAAGCCCTTAGGTTTCTGACGTTGCCTCAGCCCTGGGGCTTTTTAGGGAGCAGTCATCTGGGCTCAGCATGATACCCTCTTTATTTATAATCTAAGCAGCAAATTGGCCAGGAGCTGTTTGCATACCAAACATACCCCTTCCTAACTTTACTACTTTTTGTTATCTTGTAGGCTGGGTCTCAGATTGTGGGCTTGCTTTTTACACCTCCAGGTTCTGCTCTGCATTTGGCATTTTCACATCCATAAAATCTGAATGGAGCTTTTCCTGCCTGTGCACCATGCACCATTCCTCTCTGTTCTGGGGTGCTGGAACCCACCCCTGCTTTACTGAAGTTTTTAGAATGCTGAATGCCCTCCACTCTGGCTTAGGCCCCCATCCTGGAAGAGAACAAGCCAGTCTTTGGGCTCTTCAGAGCTGAGGGTCTGTGTAACTAACTCCCCAGACCTGTGAACGTGCCTGGTTTCCTCTAATGGGGTGCCTGAGCTGCCATCTTCTTTTCTTTCAGGCCCTGGGAATTGAAAGTGAGGATGACTTATATAAACTGGTGAACTTTTTTGTCAAATACCGAGCTCATCGTTTGTCCTCCAGCCAGGTAAGGTGCAGTGCCATAAAAATCCCAAAATCATCAATTCTCTTGCAAGGCTCCAGAAAGCATTGCTGACTTCGAGGAATGAAACAGAAAACCAAAACCAAGTGCCAAACAATTCTGACTTACAGTGACTCTATTGGACAGAGTAAAACTAGAGTTTTTGAGGCTAAGGATCTTTATTTTTCTTTTTTAAAAAATTGTGTTTCATTTATATACACTGTTGAATATTGTTTTTTGTTTTTGTTTTTTTTTTTTTACTCCTGCCTTCCAGTCACTAAACTCTGTGACCCTGTGATTTCTCCTCTTTTCCCTCCCAGAGCCCCCCTGCCCCTTACCTTCCCTCTTTGTATATTCATACATATTTCACTGGTTATCCTTAGGTTTTTACAATGATCTTATACAATATTTGCTATTATGCGACTGAGTTAATTCACTAAGCATAATGCTCTCTAGCCTATTCCAGGGTATTTTTCAAAGTCATTGCTACTGCGTGCATAGTATTCCATTGTGTGAATGTACCACAGTTTCTCAATCCAGTCGTTTGTTGATGGACATCTGAGTTGTTTCCATCTTCTTGCTCTTGTTAATAATGCTGCTTTGAACATAAGTGTACAAATCTCTGTATGTCAGTTCTGTTTTCCTCAGAGTATATTCCTAGCAGTGGTATAGCTAAGTCATATGGAATCTCTGTGTTCAGCCGTTTTATTGGGTTGAAGAGAGTCATATGGTTTGCTTGGCTTTTTTAAGTTATTGTTATTCATTCAGCTTTTGAGGGCACACCTAACTACCAGCAGCACATGAGAGTTCCTATCTCACCACATCCTCTCCAATATTTATTGCTTGCTGTTCTGCTAAACTTTGCCACTGCTACTAAAGCGAGATGGTATATCGTTATGGTTTTGATTTGTATCTCTCTTATTGCCAGTAGTTTTGAGCATTTCTTCATGTGCCTGTTGGACACCTGAATGTCTTCCTCTGTGAAAGATCTTTCCGTATCTTTTGCCCATTTTATAATTGGGTTATCAGACTTTGTCTTGTGGAGGCTCTGTAGGATTCTGTAACCTTTTGTTTTGAGACCTTTGTTGGTGATGGTATTGTCAAATGTTTTGGGGTTTTTTTTTTCCTCAGGAAGTTATGAGTTCAGGGGAAGAGACAGCCACCTCTTTCTCCTGTGGAGTGGCTGGTGGGTTTCAGGAATAGACGTTTTAGTTAGTAGCTTGGTGCTTAACTGCTGTCACTGTGTGTGAATACCTCTGAGTGCCGAGGAGCAATAGCTGACCACCCCTGGGCTTCTGAGGCTGTGAATCACACAGGAGATTGCCTGTCTTTCTTCTGCAGAGCCTGAGGTAACCTGGGGTTGCTGTGATACTGAACTTTGCGCCACTGGAGGATCAGATGCCATAATAGTTACCCATGGTGGACAGTGTTTGGTGGAGCTCCCAGTTTAAGACAGATTTCTAATGGCATCTACTTCCTAAAACAACGTGCCTCGGGAAACTCTATGAACTTAGAGAATGATAGTTATAGAAAGGCTTTAGGCCTTTTGTTCATAGGGTCCCTATGAGTCATGCTTGACTGGAAGGCAATCAACAACAGTAACACAAACATATGAAAAGGTAATCAAGCTTACTTGTAATACAAAGATGCAAATGAAAATTGCCCCACGCTCCTTTTTCACCTCTAATATTGGCCAAAATCTAAAGGTTTGCTAACACTTAGTGGTGGCTGAGGAGAGGGAGGCAGGCGCTCATGGTTGCTGGTGAGTTTGTAAATTGTAAGCGCTGCGGAGGCCACTTTGGGTGACAGTTACAAAGTACAAAATCGAATGCATTTTATCCAGCAGTTCATTTTCTGAGGTTTTATTCTTTGGATGTATTCCAGTACATTTGGAATGAATAGGCTTATTGTAGATTATTCAGTATAGTAGCATTGTTGAAAATGGACAAAACTATTGTTAAGCCATTAAATTCCCCATTACGGAATTAACTAATTAATTAATTTATGGTACTAATACTCTGAAACTGTTTAAAAAAGATATTCTTTATGTGTTTACATAGAAAAAATTCTTAGATTTTCAGAATTATGTCTATAATATGGTATTATGTATATGAAAAAGAAAGGAAAATATGCACATAAACATGTGGTGTGATGATTTGCTTGTGTTTCCATGTGTGGCAAGCCGTGTGCATCACAGTATTTCTTTGGAGGAACACATAACAAACTGATAGCATTGGTTTGTCTGCGGGTGGCAAACTAAAGGAGCTTTGAGACAGGAATAGGAAAGAGATTTTAAATATGAAAACAAAATGTAATTTGTATTGTGATTCAAGAAGATGTTTGTAATAAGTTATGTCTGTGAATCTCAGTAAGATGAACAACTGTGATCCCTGATTAAGAAACAGCATCATCATTGTTTTGAAGCTATTGTCTGCCTTTGTCTGGTCTCACCTCCCTTCGCTCCTTCTTTCTCCTCTACCACTCCTGTTTCTTTCCTATGTAAACATGTCCTTCTGAACGCACCCTTCATGCCATTTTCTTCTGTTCCTAACTTTCTTCATACATCATGCTGTGACCGTCTAGCCTACAGTTACCTTGGCACCTGCCTTAGTTGTCTGCAATAACAGAAATGCGATGAAGGGAGGGCTTAGCATCCCCAAATCTATTATCTCACAGTGTAGGATTCCAGGAAGCCAGCTCTAGGGGAAGCTCTTTCTCTCTTACCCTCCTGGTTGTGGGAGTTTCCTGACACAGGAACCTGTGTCCAAAACCTTGCTCCACTTGGGGCTCTTCTTTGTAGTGCCACTGAGTGTCCTCCCCTCTGCTGTTTTCTGAGGGAGTTCTGGTGGCTTAACCAGTAAGGAGTTGTGTTGCCAGACCAAAGCCAGATAATTCAAATCCACCAAGTGGTCCTTGAGAGAGAAAGGAGAATTCTCCTCCCACGTGATTTGCAGCCTCCGAAAACCTGCCAAAGCATCAGCTATGAATCAGGTCTGACATGGCAGCAGTGAGAGAGAGGCCGTTTTCTATCTATTTTTATCTTTTGTCATTCTGCACATAGTGAAACTTGGACAGTGAGTAATGATAACAGAAGAACAGATGCTTTTGAATCATGGTGTTAGAGGAGACTATCAATATCCCATGGACTGCCAAAAGGACAAACAAGTCTGTTTTAGAGAAAGTGCAACCAGTGTGCTCCTTAAAAGCAAGGCTGGTAAAGCTTCATTCCATGTACTTTGGGTATATTGTCAGGCCAGGGACCAGTCCTTGGGAAAAAAAGACATCATACTAGGAAAAGTGGAGGGTCTGAGAAAGAAAAGACCCTCGACAAGGATTGACACAATGAATGTAACAATGGACTCAGGCATATTAGAGATGGTAAGGATGGAACAGGACAGGGCAAGATTCAGATCTGTTGTGTATAGGGTCACTATGGGTCTTAGTTGACTCAGTGGTACCTAACAACAACAAGTACTGAAAGCCACATCCTAGGGACATTCCCTTACGTTCAGGCAGGGCAGTGGTCTGCGTAAGTGTGTTACATCCCATATCAATCCCCTTACCACTGATTGGATGATCACATTGGATCAATTAATAGGGGTAATTGTTGTTAGATCCCACTGAGTTGGCTGAGACTCACAGACAGCCTTTGAACAACAGATCTGGACCTTGCCCAATCCTGTGTCATCCTCTGGGTCTCCACCATGCTTCAGCCTGGGGTTCTAGTCCCTGGGTCAGTCCATCTTGTTGACGGTCTTCCTCTCTTTTCCTAACTTTCCACCTTTTCCAGCATGATGTCTCTCCAAGGACCTGCCTTTTTTGAAGGCATAATCAGAACATGTGAAACTCACTCTCACCATCCTTGCCTCCAAGAAGGATGCTGGTTGTACTTCCTCCGACACAGATGATGTGTTTATTCTTTTGGTAATCTATGGGATATTCAGTACCCTTAGCCAACACCACTGTTCAAAAGTATCAATTCTTCTTTGTCTTTCTTATTCTCTGCCAACTTTCAGATGCATAGGAAGTAATTGAAAATATAGTGGCTTAGATCAGGAGCAACTTAGTTTTAAAATGAATATCCTTGCTCCTTGTATTTTAAAGACATCTTTGACAGCAGATTTCCCCAATTTAACACAGCTTTTGGTTTCTTGACTGCTGCTACAATAGCTACTATGGATGTTGATTGTTGATGTAAGTAAAATGACATTTAAAAAAATTTATTTTATTAATTTTAATGAACATTTACAGAGATTTTGGATTTCCATTCATTCATTGTTGCAC